ACGGACCTTCTGCCTACTTCCCAGAGTCTAAGGGCTGCACCGAGAGAAGCCTGCCCCACCCGCTGTTTTTCCTCCAAGCACTTACTACCGTCCTTCTTACTCCTTACCTACTGTTTTTATCATCCCCCCCCCAACTGAAGTGTGAGTTCTCCAACAGAAGGGATTCCTCTCTAGTCTTTTCACTGCTGAATCCTGATGTCTAGAGAAGGGTCTGGCTCCTGGGAGTCGCCCAGTAAATAGTTGTGCAATGGATCGATGAGTAGGTAAAAAATCACAGCACCGGACATGAAGCATTTGATGGTGATGGCGGTGCTCCTACTAATTCCTGTGAGGAGAACAGCCATTACCAAACCATCTTCAAAGTCAACATGGCTGTTCTCGGGCCCTGCGCCCTTCGCACCCAAGCCTCTGTGGCACCTCCTTGCCCACGGTTGCAGCGTGGGGGCCTGACCCCTGCCTGTGCTGGAGACAAGGGAGTCACACACGAGGGGGAACTGAATGGAGGAGAATTGGCAGCAGGAGTCCCAGAACTCAGGACAAAGCGGAAGCCCTTCTCGTGGAAACCAACCGGGACATCAAAGAGCGCTCTGGGGCCCACAGCTGCAGAGAAGGTTTCAGCAGCCTCTGCTTCAAAGGATGGGATGGATGGTGGGAAGAACTGATCTTATCTGACCAGAACTGGGGTCTTCAAGTCACGGCCACTGAAAGTTCGGGAAATGAAAGAAAGAGCAGAGGGCCTGGCTTGCTTTCTTAATCTGTGCATTTGCAGTGGCAATAATGATGCTTAAATCTTTCATCTCCAAAGGGCCTTACGCCGTGAGCTCGCATACAAACAAGACTCAGCTGTGTGTTGTGCTTTATAAGATGTGTTATTCTGATGGAAAAGACTCCACTGTCCAATAGCCTGCTGACTCGACATGTTCTAAAAGGAAAGTCTGGTATCAAAACATAAATCTAAATGGAAACCAAAATAGCAAACAGCAACGTGTATTAATCAGACCCATCTACTTGTACCAAAATCCACATTCCCTCAACTCCCTGGCCCCAGGGTATGGTTCTTTCTTGTTGCTGTTCATTTCTTTTTTTCCTTTTCATCTTTTAATATATCCTTCCAAGATTCTTGCAATGTACTGTAGAGTCCAGACTCTCTTATGGAAAGCATATGCCTTCGAGAACATACCGTTCACTTGAAGTTCTGCAGCCAGTTTAGTTTCTGGCCCAGGATTAAGTGAGAAACAACAATTGTTTGTAGGGCTGGAAGTAACTTCAGGTCAGTGAACCAGTAAGAACCACATATAAGGCAAAGAGAGTTTCTAAAAGACCTGTAAGAAAAGGGGCATGCCCAGTTAACCTGTGAGTCTCATCCATTCGTTCGTTGGTTTTATTTATGCAACATTTGTTGAAAGTTTGCCATAAAATAGGTCTATGCTCAGAGCCAAAAAGTACCAAGGTAAAAATGACCAGTCCTTACCCTCTGGTCTCCTACAGTCTAGGATAGGAGACAGATATATCGAGGTCCCAGTTCAGTTTGACAAGGTCAAGGCAGGGGATCCTGACAGATTTAGGTCATGGGGCAGGAGTGGAGACTGGAAAGAAAATGCTTTTTAAAGAGAGTCGAGAGGAGAGGAGGTAAAGAGGAGGCAAGAGTCCTTTACACAGAGGAAACTATGCATGTTACATAAAAAAATAGGATGCAGATGAAATTCAAATTCTTTAAAAACTGGAACATCGTGGCACAGACAGAGGCCAAAACCCACCGGTGGTCCCAGTGAGTGCCTTGGGCTGTAGATCTTTCCTACCGATCTGGGAAGTCTCAGAGCATAGGAGCGTGGGAAAAGCAAGGTACAGGGTTGGGTGTTCCAAGTCAACTGTTAGTTGTCCTTGGTGAGGGAATGACAGGTGGGGCCATAGGGGGTCTCCAGGGTCCCAGCTCTCTGTTTCTCGATCTGGGTGCTGATCACACAGGTTTACATACTTCGTGAAAATAAATCGAATTGAACACTTGTGATAAATGCTCTTTCCAGTACAAATGTTTAGGGAACTGTCATATGTTTGACAAAATGTTCCAAAACAAATAAATAAATACCATGCATTTAGGCAAGTCTCAATTTATGGGGAATGGCTCCAGCAAATTGTGTGTGTGTGGAGGAGATAAAAGTAGACTCTTAAAGCAAAGCCACGTTAAAAGAGCCTTAGGCACTGAATTAAGGAGTTTGAACTTTATCCTCAGAACTGTGAGCCTCTGGAAAGAATGAGGGCAGGACCTGGAGCTGACGGGTGTTAGATCTCAGGCTCCAGGCTCCGCCCCGGTCCCACAGTTCAGTCACTGTGTCATTGTGTGTTAAGTTCAAGCTCTTCGTCTGCAAAATCCACTAAAGCTTTTGTTTGCCTCCTTAGGATGTTTGAGAATTGAATAAGATAATACAAAAAAATAGTTAACATAGTGGGCACTATATATAAATATTTGCATTTTATTTTTTTAATCCTCATTCAAGGATATGTTTATTGATTTTAGATAGAGAGGAAGAGAGAGGGGCAAGGAGAGAAACACTGATGTGAGAGAGAACCATCCATCAGTTGCCTCCCATGCACAACCCTGACCGGGCTCAAACTCACAGCCTTTCTGGTGTATGGGGTGATGCTCCAACCAGCTGAGCCACTGGCCAGGGCACAGATATTTGCAGTTTAGCAAGCTTTCTCAAGCAGGAGTGAGGAGAGTGGGTGGGGGTGAGAGATGGGACAGAGAGATGATTTGAAAGCTATGGCAGTAATCTAGTGAGGAAGGAATGAGCCTGACCAGGACAGGGACAGTGTAAATCAAGGAGGGATTATTTAACTTGGGGGAGCAGAATTAACCAGACTTGGCCTGAGAGATGAACGAGACAGCGGTGCTCAGGTATCTGGCTCCAGTGACTGCACCGGTGGAGGTGCAGTTAGAAGGTGAAGAGGAGGAATGGACGAGGGGGAAGACTGTGCATCGAATGTGAAACCTGTTGAGACTGGGGGTGCTGGGAAGCATCCAGGACCTCAACCAAGATGTTGGCGATAAAGACAGAGATTTGGGAAGTATATAAAATGCTGTTGAAGGCATGTGAGTAGATGAGGTCCTTCAGGGATAATATGTCATGTGAAAAAAGCAAGGGGCCAAAGATGGAGCCCTAAGTGACATCAGTATTTAAAAGGGAAGACCCCCTTGACCCCCCCCCAAACAAAAAGGAAACTATGAAGAAATCTGAGAAGAAACGATTGGAAAGGTGGAAGGGGCATCCAAGAGAGTCCTATCATGGTAGCCAAGAAGGACGTCATCGGCTGTAACAAATGCCACAGAAATGACCAGTTAAATGAAGGCCAGGTGTCTGCTGAGTCCGATATATGATGGCCATTGGTGACTTCAGTGAGAGCAGTTCCAGGGACACAGGGGCAAAAGCAGGACTGTCCTGAGTGCATGGTGTGAGGGTCAGAAGAGGGAGGCCGATGGGTGCGGTCAAGGGCAGGGGAGCTCAAGGGCAGGGGAGCTCCAGGGCAGGAAGCGGGGGCGGCAGTAGGAGTGACTGGCTTTCTCCAAGATCAGAGAGCTTCCTGATTTTTTCCAGTGCTTATTCACCAGCACCCGTCTTGAAGTTTAGAGATATCGCCCTTGCAGTCTCTCCCTCCCACCCGCCTCCCTCTCTCCCTTCTTTCCCATACTGAATTTCCTCTCCAGAAGCCAGGGAGTAACTTATGTAACTCGAAGCCCTTAATGTATATCTTTAAAGTGTTTTTAAAATAAGATGTTGAAAAGTGGGTATATTCGGGGAAGGTAGCCAGAAGAACCCAATTGTGAAAGGATTTAGAGCAGGGGTTAGAGAACGGAATGGGCTTCCGGTCAGCCTGCTGCCTCCCACCCCTGCAACCCCTAGGGACTGGCCAGTGGCCCCCATCAGGGCATGTGCGTTGGAGAATGCCACTTAGTGAGTGCACTCACCCCCTCTGTCAGGAGGCTTCAGCGGCCCTGCAAGCAGGCAGCAGCATCCTCCTGTAACGACCCCATGCTCCAGGTCCTGGCTGGGCCGCCAGTCTGCTCCCCCCGCTGGTGGACGCTGGCCTCCAGAACTCAGTTCACACCCCTTCTTCTCCTGCCACTCCTCCACGGACCAACTCTGGCTTCCAGATGGGGCCCAAACTGCTGCCTTCAGGAGCCCCTCTTGTCCCCTTTAATAGTCACTCAGTCAGTGTGTGGTTCATTTTGCATTTCCTGGGAGGTTCCCGTGAGTGACTCTCATTTTTGTTTAGAACATACTTTGCCTCACTGGTGAAACTTTAAGTCCCCAGGAGGAATTCCCTACAGCCTCGAGTGGGGCGCCCTGTGGAGAGTGAGTGAGTCCTCAGCCAAGGCTGGTTTGCAGGCCTTCGGGGTGTGAAGTCTGCACTAGACTGCAAGCTCCTCCGGGCCACTGGTCTCTTTCATGCTTTTACACCCTCACCACCAGCTCCCCAGGGCTTCCACTATTCATCAATCCCACAGACATTTATTAAGCACCTACTGTGTGTCAGACACTGCACTAGGTAATCTGGAAGTTCAGCTGGGAATGGCAGGCCAGGTCCCCATCTGGTGGAGTTCCTGTTCTAGTAGAGGAGACAGCCAACAAGGGACGAACAGACAAGTAAATCCAGGCCTGTGGCAGGCCCTGCCCAGGAAATAAACAGCTGTGGAACAGAGAAGGGGCACGTGCATGCTGAGAATGGAAGACTGAAAAGGAAGGATACGTTGCTCCTCAGTCTTCTCCTTTAACAGCCCCCACTCCTTGGACTTCTCTTTCAGTAAAATATTTATTTGAAGGGATGTAATAAGGTGACCTCTTATGCATCGCCCTGGTCTGTGGACTCACAAACCACCCACACATCTGATTGCTAACAAACCACAGTCTCTCCGAGGGTCGCCCACCTCACCTGCTTTATGGGGGTTGCAGTGCCAAGGCCTCCCATGTGTCTGATGGGGCTGCTGCTGGTTTGTTTTGCAGGTAAGCCGGCCTCATCCCAGCGACCACCCCCTCCTGATCCTCTTCGTGGTGGGCGGAGTCACAGTCTCTGAAGCCAAGATGGTCAAAGACCTTGTGCTGTCCCTGAAGCCAGGAACCCAGGTACTGAGTCATGGGTGATAGGAATGAGAGTCCTGGGGCAGGAGTGGGAAGGGCGGGCGAGGGCCCTTTGCTGGGCTTCTCCTCTGCCACCTGCTCCTTCCCAAGGCACTGTCTCCTTCTGCCTGCCCCGGGCCAGCCACCCTCCCTGTGGGGGTTAAGGGGCCGCTCTCCTTTCACAGGCCTTTCCTGCTTCTGGGCTTCGAGGGCTGACACGCTATTGTCCCTCTTCCCATTTCCTGCATATGTTCCCTAGTGCCCAATCAGCGCTGAGTCCCACACGCATTGTCACTGCTCTCCCAGCTCCAGGTCCTTGAGGATAACTCCCAGGATGACCTCCCTGGTGTGGCAACCAGAGGACCTGGCTGGAGGAGCAGGGGAAGGTGCATTGTCAAAAACGATGACGAGTGTAGAATTTTCTCCTCTATAGCCTCCTGTCAGGTCCCACCTCACTCCCCAAATAAGCGACCTGGTGGTTAAGAACATGGACCTCTTGATTTTACACAGGCCTGTGTTCGAACATTACTTCTGCCTTTCACTAGCCAGATGATCTAGGAGAGAAAGGCCCTTGGTTTTCTGATTTAGGAAACGGGGCTGAGGTGATGTGAATCTTACAAACAGTAAGTGGAGAGAATATGCTGCTTAGCCCCGTGCGTGGTACGTGCCCCACCGTCAGTGGGGGCCCGTCACTGTCAGCCACCCCCGGGGGAGGCCACCCGCCTGCTCTGCAGGAGCGGCCGAGGCTCCTGGTGTGAGGCCACAGATAAGGGAGAAGAGAGACTTTGGGGGGGAAAGGGGCAAGGGGGAGCCCTGCCTCTCGGCGGGGTTGGGGCGTGGTGCTGTGATCTGGTCGGGGAAGCAGAGCCTGTAACTCAGTAACATAAAACCCTGCTTCGGCGGGTTCGCCCGAACGCACCCTGAACGCACTCTGAGATGGAGATGTGCAAGCAGGCGGTTTACATGGGAGGCGATCCCAAGAAGCAGAAGCGAGGGAATCAGAAAAGAAGAACGGCAGAGGGGGAAAACCCAGGAAGGGTGCCTCGCTGAGGTGGTGCGGCTGTGCGTCACTGAGGCCAGGTCCCCAGGGCCCCAGGAGTGGCTCTCTCGCACCTCAGAATTGTGCTGCTGGGCATCCGCAAGCCCAGGACATCTGCTCACACACTCTCCTCCCACACCACCCCCCAGTTGTGACTGGCCCCTGGCGCCTTATCTTCAGCTTTGGGCCACCTCCACCTGCAGCTGAGCAGCCTTCTGTGGTTTGGAGAAAGCAAAACAGAGAGGTGCGGCCAGTGCTTCAGGTGGGCCGCTGGCTTGTGCAGAAGCTCACCACTGCACAGAAACCAGGTGGGATCCCAGCCCGGGCCTGGCTGCCGGGGCTGCAGTGTCTTTGTCTCCCAATTCAACCCAGTACTAAAGTTTCACCAGCTATGACCATGACAGGTGACAGTAACAGCAGCCGGCCAAGTGTGCCCTCCTTCATGCCTTCCGTGAAGTCCTGCTTCTTGTTCCAGGCCTTTCCTGCATCTCTGCTGGCATCCAAAATCCATACTGTGCAGTGCAGCACCAAGCTGCCTGCTCACTGCTTCCTACTCACCAGCCTAGTCTCCTCAAGCAAACGTGAGCTCTGTGAGGACAAAGGCTGCGGCTCCCCCGGCCTGAGCACACACAGGAGCTCCCCAAGCCTGAGGTCTCTGCCCTGATTGGCTACAGGAGGACTGCCTTGGTGCTGTCGGAGTGGGCCACCTGGTGAAGCAGAGGAGACCTGGTCCCCATTGTTCTCCAGACACCCAGCTGAAAAATGGGACCTGGGTACCTAGGGGGCTACAGAAGGTTCTTGAGCATGGGAGTGACCAGCCATTGGCTGCGACCCTTTCTGCTGTTACTCTCACGTGTCATGGTCATAGCTGGTGAAGTGTCTGATAACGTGGTAAATTCTGCCTCATTTGACAGCCTGTCTGTCAGCAGCGTTAAGGATCTGTTTCATGAGCGATTGCCTTTTCGGCAAGACCTTTATTTTTCGATCAGAAAGCATGCTTCTCACTGCCCCTAACATGGCAAACCACATTCTTAGCTCTTCAGAACAGTTCCGAATTGTAACAGCCTGACGGACATGTTAATCCCCACTCTAAAGGAGTAAAATGCAGGCGTTTTCAAAGCCCATTGGCCTGAGTTTGACTACAGAAACCGGAGTCCGCGTGGCTTTGCTGCAACCTGACTGCACTCAGTCATCTGCAAAGAGAGCATCTCAAAGAATACTGGGATTAAGGAGCCGCCTTGACTGCTCCCTGTCCTTTGTGCAAAAAATCCCCCGAAGAGTCAACAGGTGGAGGGAAATTTCAAGAAGTTCTTCCTCCTCGTGCCCTTTCGACCTCCAGGTTTCTGAGAGGAGGTGGATCACCCGTGTGCCTGCTGAGTGTGGAGGCAGATCTCCCTTTATCAGAGCTCCGCAGACTCCGGGCCGCCCGGACTCTGTAGTTCCCTCTGCCCGGACCTGGGGCACGAGCAGCCGCCTGCTTCAGGAGCGCAGAAGTCGGGTGTTGCTGCTCTGGCTGCACACAAGCTAGACCCGCGTGACAGCGACCTGTGCTTAGACTCGCTGATGCTGGGGAACATGTGTGGACTAGACCGAATCAGCACCAAGAGACTCTCAGAGACACCTCTGGCACCAAGACAGCAACTCGGACTTGGTCGTCAATGGAAACAGTATATGTATCCGATACGTCAGTACTCCTTCTGTCTTCATATCCAGCCTCTGCACGACCATCTCCAGGGACAAGGCTTTGCCCCTCCCACGGCAGCCCCTGGAGTCTCACAGGGCTTCATCCATACGACCGCTCTGCGCCTCCTCCAGACGGGTCCCAGTCAGCCTCCTCGGGGCCCTCACTCGTCAGCGCAGGCCCAGCATCAGGATGCCCGGAATTTACAAGCAAATCAGGCTCATCCTCCTTCCACAGATCTCCGTCCCAGGTCGGCTCTTCTCCAAACTCAGTAGCCTCGCCACCCCACCCCACCCCCTCCTGTGACGGGTCAGAGTACCCTCACTGCTGTGGTGGCGGTCCTCAACCCCAGGGTGTCCCTGTCTGCACTCAGATGGACCTGAGAGCCGTGCCCTGCTGTGAGGCAGCCTTGGCCCACGGCCTCATCCCCACCGCGGCCTGCAAGGCCCCGCAGGACCCCAACCCCAGCCCTTCCAGCCTCGGGCCTTTGCACTCTTCACTGTCTCGTTCCTGCACCTCAAACAGGGCCTGGCACTGGGGGTCTTGATTGTTCATTGGGTGTCAGATATTGGACACTGGAACCTTCGCTCGTGTGAGTAAAGCATAGATGAAAGTGACTTTTCTGGGGACCGCACCAACTTGTTGATTCATACTGAGATTACGGACAACTGAAACCACCTGTCTTTTGTATCAGTTGCTAGTCACCCATATCTTCTCCATTAAATACCTACGTGAGTGTGCGCAGCCCCACGGACAGGAAGCTGCGGGCCTGTGTGTCAGCGTGGACTGGTGATCACCCATCCGCGCTGTGTTGGGCCCTGGCCCTCACGCTGCAGCGGGAGCAGCAGCCAAGCCAGACATTTCCTGCTTCCGGGGAACTCACACGCTAACAGTGAGTGGCAGACACGAAACACGAAAACTGCAGCCAGAGAGAAGTGCCAGGAGCACACAGGTGCTGTGGTGGAATAACTGGAGGGGACGTTCCTTCGGGTGGCACGGGCGTGGAGGAGAAGGCTGTGGCTGAAATGGGAAAGGGATCAGCCCTTCGGGGGAGGCTGGTAGAATCCATTAATGGCACATCCGGGAAGGAATTCTCTTTCACAGAAGTGACAAGGATTGCCCCAAACAGTGGAAATCGGAGACCGTGTTCACACCTGCTCCTCCCGTAGGACTGGTACCATTCTCTAAAGTGGGAGTGTTTTCTCCACTCTCGGCTGGGCTGGTGGTGGACGTGCCGACAAGGGAACTGCGGGTAGTTGGAGAAGGCCTTCTTTCTTGACTGAGCACAAAAGGGTCAGAGAGGCGGCTCGCCCCGCCCCACCACACACAGCCACGGCGCAGGGGGAGGCTCCGCGGGCTCCCTCGCTCCTCTGTCTCGCTCCCTCGCAGCCCTGCGCGGGGCTCCAAGCCCAGACAGCCCCACAGGCTGAACTCTGTAGCCGGGTGGTGGCCAGAAAGCCAGCAGAATCCTGGGGTTGTGGGAGGAAAATAACAGGGAGGGACCCTCCCAGCAAACAGAGGGATGGGCTGGCTCAGGAAATAGGAAGACCAAGCGGGCACCGTGACCCAGCCAGCCACCGCTTTTCGTAGGCACGTGCATGTTGCCCACGTGTTCACGTGGCACTCCATTCCTAGGGCTAAATATTCGGGGAGGATGTAACTTTTTAAAAACTAGACCCAATGATACGCTCACACACACAGTTTTGTACCACTCCGGGGGTCCAGGGCCACTTAACTCCTGGCTCTGAGACCTGGCTCTGGGTTAGTCTGAAGCTGACAGGGAGCCCAAGGAGAGCAGTCAAGTAAGTTTTTTTTTTCCTTTTTTTTCTAATTGTATTTTTTTCCATTGCCATTTATTCCCCTTAGACGCCCCTATACCCCCAGCAGTCACCACCCTGTTGTCCGTGTCCATGAGTCCATTTTCCTTTTTGCTCGATCCTTCTACCCACTAACACCTCCCATAGCTGTCATCCTTCTCTTAAAAAAACAAAGCAGAATAAAACAAAACCTCGGAGGGGCAAAGGTGAGGAGGAGACCTGACACCTCCCACTCGCGGAGCTAGGCGAGCCGGACAAGCACAGTGCACTGACCTCTGACGCTAACGGAGCAGGTCAGGCGGCCCGCGGAAGGTTTCCAGGGGCTGGGTCAGGTCCGTGGGGTTAATCCACTGTACCACCGGTTTCATGAGCAAGGCTTGATGTTGACCACAAGTGTGTGCGCGTGTGGGGGTGGATAAGGGCTGGAACATGATACGTGCCCAAACCAATCATCAGATGGATGCAGATGCGTGTCAGTGCACGTGCCCACACATGCGTGTGGGCTGCTCTTCCTGGGAAGAATCTGCCAAGTTTAAAAGAAAAGGGAGAAACAAATGTTATCCCTGGCCCTCCTTTCAGATCACAATGTTAGAAATCAGAGGGTTATAGACGCTAAATCCTGGACTGCCCAGCTTCCTCTGTGTTCTGCAGAAATACAACCGGAAGGTGCTGGCACTTAGAAATTACAGTGGAAGTGGCCCGTGGAAGGAGAGTGAGGGGCGGGGCTGCTCTCCCAGGGCCGCCCAACCCTGCAGGAGTTCAGAGCTGGCAAGCTGAGCACAAAGTCGGAACCGTCCCTCTTCCTGCTGAGCCAGGGCCTTCCTGGAGCCCGAGGCTGCTTTAAGGACTTGGTTCTGAGGCTTCCGGGGAACCCTGGAGTCCTCCACCCCCGCCTCACTGATGGGCATGTCCTCCAGTGCCCTTGGTTACCTGGGAAAAGCCAGTTCTGTAAAAGGAATTCTCTAGCACTCAGTCTGCCTAATATCACACATTTGATTACTGTATTTATAAAATTTACATTTCCTACCTCACAGACCAGTTTCAGACTCTCAAGCTTTTTATCATTTTTGAGATTTTTTTTTGGTGCTTCCCCCTTCCCCCGCACTTGCCTTATTTTTTAGAATTTTAAGGATTATTTTAGCCAACTAATGCAGAAATGCCATTAGTTGAATAAAAAAAGAAAAGAAACCTCTGAAAAGGCTCCAACGCAGTCTGAAAACGCAGAGACGCCGAAGACAGAACAACATTTAAGGCCCATCAACTGTTACATTGTAAAAGAAATGTTAGTGTTGCAATCCTGCTTGTTCTTCAAAATAGGAATTTTAGACAAATAAGCTTCCTGTTGAACTGATTTGAAACAAATTTACCCAGGCTCTCTGAGCTTTTACTAAAGAAACTTCCTGCTGATGATGCTAAACTCACTGCCTCCTTCATTGCCTTAGTGGTTTTGTTCATTCATTGAATGATGCCCTCTCATTACATCAAGGACCTGATCTGGGCCAGGCCCCGTGCTGAGAAACAATGAAAAGACTCTGTTAAGGAAATAGGGAAGACGGGGCCATACCAACAGTTGTGAAAACACAGGCCTGAGGGGGCGGGAGACATCTGAGAAGGCTTCCTGGAGGCAGTGATGCCTGAGCAGACTCAGAGGTCTTCAGGCAAAGTGTGAAGGAACTCATGTTCCACATAAAGAAGCATCTCCAGGTTCCAGCCATGAGGCTGAACATGGTTGCGCACGGCGAGAATGCAGAACTGAGGGTGAGCAGGACAGTGGCAGGGGGCTGGGCGTGGAGTGCTGAGCAGCCCTCAGATTCTAAAATCCCGAAATGCCCTGTGAAGGGGTTGGGCTTACCAAAGGGCAGGAAGGAGGGGGCAAGGATGGCTAGGAGCCAGACGGGGACACAGCGGAGGGCGAAGGCTGTAACAGCGGCTACCGTTTCTAAGCCCCCTAGAGCCTGTCATTGTGCTAAATATTTTACATGTCTGTTCACATTTGACCTTCATAATAACCCTGTGTAGTGGGTGTCAGTATTCCGACTTTACAAAGAAACTGAGTCTCAGTGATTAAGCAGTTTCTCCAGGGTCATCTGTCCGGAAAGTGGCCCAGCTGGGTCCAGCCCAGCACAGACACACCGGAGGCTGTGCTCCCAACTAGACCCGACCCTGGAGAGCCGGTGCGCTCAGCACTGCCCTCTCCCCTCCTCCCGCCCTCCTAACTTACTTCTCGTGCCGCCTGTCTCTTCCATCTGTCTCTCGTCGCCTGCCCTCCACGGAGCAGGCCCCACACACCCTCGGCTCAGCCCACACGCTGTGTAACTGCCTGCTTGTTTGCTGGTGAGGGGCCTGGTCTGTGGCTCCAGCTCAGTGGAGGTGGCCAAACCCTGACTCTCAGTCAGGGTGGCCGGAAGCCCCGCGTGCAACCCGAGAGTGACGGGAGCTTCCGGCCCAGGCATCACTGCTCCAGTAGGGTCAGCATCGACCGAGTCGGCAGCCCTTCCTCCCCAAGTCCCTCAATCCTGCCAACTCACTCCAGCCTCTACACTTGCCGTCAGCTCAGCTGGGGTAGAGTTTGCCATCTTGGCACTGGAACTAAGGGCGACAGAGGCTGCCAGTGGTGGTGGGGACTGGCAGGTCACAAGGGCAGAAGAGGGGACCTCGGCACACTAGTTACACTGGCCTCTAGTACCTCACACGAGTCTGCTACCAAAGAGTGTGCCAAAGATTTTTGTTTTTACATGTGCATTTTAAAAAAAATATCTGAATAAGTGTTTCTTAACTTGTGGTCTATGAATCCTAGTTGTCTATGAACATCACCTGAAAGCATATTCAGAATCTTCTGTGTAGGAACATATGCATGTATTTCCTTAGTTTTCAAAAGATTGAAAAGGAGGTCTGTGACCCAACCACAAAACCACAATAAAACAGCAGCTCACGACCACTGAGCCCCCTTGTGCTGTATGCCCTTGAGCTTATGTAAGTAAGCCTTGCCGCAATGCTGCAAGCATGAGGCTGTTGTTTTTCTTCTGGGACAGACAGGCTGAGGCTCCAAGTGGAGTGCCTTTTCCCCAGGGCAGAGCGGTGGAGCTGGGCTCTATGGGGTTCTGACGGGGGAGCCACCATTCTTAGCCAGCTGTTAGGCTTGGCCTAGAGACCCTGAGGAGTGAGCAGAGACCCTCTCCAGAGCCACTTGTTCTGGTGCCCTCTACACCGTGTGGGGGATGCGAATATTCACGCATTGCTCTCAGACTCTCATCTTGCAGCTTTCAAGGAAAAATGTGAGCACAGATTTTAGGTATTTTTTCTGCCAAAAATGTGACTGGGCTGACATTAACCATATATTTTTTTTAAATAATTCTCTTTCAAGAAAAAGGAAAATAGCTGCTTCTAATTTTTGTTTTAAACAGAAGTTTTAATAACCCTCACTTTCTTAACAACAGCAAGAAAAATGTAAAATGCTTCCTTCCCTCCCCTCCAACCTTGAGTGCGTCGCCATCTGCTTTGGCTCCGCAGTGGACTGTGTGGACTGTTGTCGCCCAGTGAGCTGGGAAGCGGGAGCTGGTAGATTCACTGGTTTGGGTACACCTGGGGCAATTTGGGGAGTGGGAGGGGGACAGTGAAGTGTGCGGTGTCGACCCGTACTCTCCCCGGGGGCACAGTGGTACAGTCGCCAGGTGGAAGCCGGGCCTGATGCTGGCCTGGCAATTGTTCTCGCTCAGGCGCTGGGCTGCGGCACTCTGATTCTAGAACCTCCTTCCCCATATCCCATAGTCACCTTCTTCATCGGGTGGCATTGGACACCTGCCTGTGCAAAACCTCTCTGGCTCTTACAAAGCATATCACAGCCCCGCCCCACCCCGGGCAAGGAGCTCCCCAGTGCTGCAGAGACAGACCTGCCCCAGAGGAGAGGCCCAGACTCAGGGAGGCAGGAAGGGTCACCTGGTGTGGGGCCAGGCCAGAGAGGCCCAAAGGCCCGTGTGGACTGGGGGAGAAGAAGCAGCCTTGCCCGGAGCCCTTAACCACAGAGAAGTGACCAGGTGGATACTCGGATGTTGGGGCCAGCCTGCCTGGGTTGGAATCCCAACTTAACTACTCTCTCTGTATCTTTGGGCAAGTTTCTTAACCTTCCTGTACTTTATGTTCCTTACCTGCAAAATAAGAATATATTACCTATTTCGTAGGGTTGTTAAACGAGATCTTCCTCAGAGCTGGCACATCATAAGGACTGATAAATACTAGCTGATATCATCATTATCATATCATTATTATGGGTTGAATTATGTCCCCCTCCCAAAAAAATGTTGAAGTCCCAGCCCCTAGTAACTGTATTCCAAACATTAGTACCTGTACTAGTATTTGGAAATGGGCCTTTATCGGGGACATGGACAACAAACAGTGTGGGGGTTGCCTGAGGGGGGGTTGCGTGGAGGGGGACAAAGAGGGGAAAAGTATGACAAATGTAATAGAATAAGCAATAAAATGTTTAAATTTAAAAAAGAAATGGGTCTTTGTAGATGAGTAGATTAAGATGAGGTCGTTCAGGAGACGATTCGCCTGTGTCCTAATGAGAAAGGAAAGTCTGGACAGAAAGAGGACAGGCAGTGTGAAGACATGAAGAAGCAGAGAGGGGAGCGTGGGATGGAGTCTCCTTCGGGAACTTGAGGAAAAACCAGTCATGCCAGCAACACCTTGGACTTCTGGCCTCCTGAACTATGAAACAGTAAATTTCTGCTAGTTAATTAATACAGTCATCATTACTATCACCCACAACAGCATTTACCTCTTGAGTATACCTTCTCTTGCTCCCGGAAGGAGGGAGAAACCTCTACATCGAGGTCAAATTACTGGATCGCAGAGTGACCATACGATCCAATTCAATCCAGCAGCAAGGCGGTGGCTGGGATGGGCCATTCTCAGTGCCCATCGGTTAAAGGTTTAGGAGACACAGCCCTGCTGTCCCGCAGGGTCATCCTTCCACACAGGACACTAGCGTCCAGTGGCATCAAGCTGCTGCCTTCTGCCTTTTTCCCACAGTACCCACTCCATTCCCACTCCCAAAGAAATTTGTCGCATTTTATTCCTCATCACCTAACAACCTGAGATCGCCCCCCTAACTGTCTGCACCGCATCTGCCCCTCCCGTTGTCAGGTAATCGTGCTGTCCACGCGGCTCCTGAAGCCACTGAACATCCCTGAGCTGATATTTGCAACTGATCGGCTGCATCCAGACCTTGGCTCCTGAGCGTCTCCTAAGAAGACGAGATCTGCCCGAGATGGAAATACCAATACTCTTATCTGTCACCATCAAGATACGCCTCCACATCCAGTGTCCCGGGTGTGGCTAAATTTTGGTAATGATCGATTTTTGTCCAAAGGGTCGAGAGAACCAGACAGTGAAGTGGTTTGGCTAGATTCTTGATTCTTTGAAAAAAATTATTTTCATTCCCCTAAAGGTGTCAACTGTCTTTCAGCTGGCCTAATTCATAATAATTCCCATTTATTCTTTTTTTTTAAGATTTTATTTATTTATCTTTAGAGGGGAAGGGAAGGAGAGAGGGAGAGAAACATCAATGTACGGTTGCCTCTCGTGTGTCCCCTACTTGGAACTGGCCTGCAACCCAGGCATGTGCCCTGACTGGGAATCGAACCGCGATCCTCTGGTTCGCAGGCCCACGCTCAATCCACTGAGCTACGCCAGCCAGGGCCCCATTTATTCTTAACCCTCTATTTGTGATCTTCCCGATTCCACCTGCAAGTTCAATAATTCTAGATAAATGCCTGTGGGGGAGTGATGGTAGATTATAAGCCCTTTGATCTGCAGTTGCTCAAAAAGCAGTTCGACATGCTTTAGAATTATAAATGTCAGGAAACTTTGGTTTTTTTCTCAAGATTACGTTACTGAGGGAGGGAACATTGCAAATGGGGTCTGAGGCTTTGTTTCTGTCTTGATCTGAGACAAGTTTGAGAAGGGGAGTCAGGCAGAGGGAATGGGCTGGGGCGGGTCTGGTTGTGAACCCCCCCACCATGACAAAGGGCCACATTGTTCCAGCCTGGGCACTGGCAGGGCCCCCAGCCTCCTGGGAACTACAGTGGGGGCCCGTCTCTGCCTGTAAAGGGTCCCCATCCCTCCCGAAGGAAGGCCCGGTACAGATATCTGGTCTCAGGGAGTCTGCATTTGAACCCTAACCCCTGTGACTTTTGTGACTTAGCTCCTATTGAAATATGAAGCTTTCTTTTCTGTAAGTCTAAATTTTTCTTTTGGCTGTAGCAGAAAAACCTAAACCCACCTAGTGAAATTATATAAGAATTCCCGCAAAAATTAACCCAGACATTTGTAGGTGAGTGGTTGATGGGAATTTCTAGCATCTCTAAAAGGTGTTTGTAGAAAGAGATAAAGCTGAAACAATGTCTAGTGTGGATTAAACAGGGAGAGGAAATAAAATGTAAATCAAAGTATTTACATCTCTCAGTTCTCAACAAATCACTGTCATTTTATGAAGAAACTGTGAAGTTGGAAATCATTCTGGGATGTAATCACAGCAGGTTTTGTAGAACTGACTTTTTTTGTCCAAGTGTGTTCTCCACCTCACACCAGTTCTTTTATGGTGCTCAGTATTGGACACCTCGGGCTCCTTCCATCATGCTAATCCAGAAGTCTGCGTTTGAATGAGAAAATGGCACTACCCAAAAAGAAATGATCATTGAAGAAGAAATCATTATTTTCTACAATAAAAAAAATTAAGAAGTAACCTGCTGTGTGTCTCAAATCTGCATTCATTCATTCAGTCAGTCATTGCATTCACTCCCAAACACCGCACGAGCCCCCCGCACCAGCCTGGCTTCTGCTGGGTTCCTGCCACTGCCGTGAGCTGGGCCAGACGCATGCGCGACCCTGCGGCTCCCGCAGACCGAGCAGCCGGTGCCTCTCCTGACGACCGGGCCCTGTGTGAGTATCTGCTCAAGGTTAAATTTTAAACCATGTGTCTCTCTGCAAAGGAAACTTTTTGGAAATACAAAAACGAAACTGCTAACAAGTGGCTGCCTCTGGGAAGAAGTACAAAGTGAGAGGGCTGACAGAAGGGAGGAGGCTTGCTCTTACATATATACATCTATTCAAATGTTTATTCTTATTTAATATTTAACTACAGCCTACTCAGCAGCTCATAATCCTATTATTTGAGTTTTTATTTTGATAGAATTTGTCTACTTTATTGCAGTATAATTTTCACACAATGAAAATGGTCTTGTTTGAAAAGCACAGGTCAATGATTTTTTTTAAGATTTCCATTATGTATTTTTAGAGAAGGGAAATGGAAAGGGGAAAGAGGGGCAGGAAACATGTGAGAGAGAAACATCAGTCAGTTGCTTCCCCCACACTCCCAACTGGGGACCTGGCCTGAAACCCAGGCACGGGCCCTGACCAGGAATCGAACTTGCAGCCTTCCACTTCACAGGCCAGTGCTCAGTCCACTGAGCCACACCAGCCAGGGCTCAATGAGTTTTAATAAATGTGGATACCATGGAACTGTCACCACAATCAAGAAATAGGACGTTTCCCCCACCTCCAAAGGTCCCCTTGTGTCCCTTTCCAGTCTGTTTCCTTGTCAGCCTCCGGCTCTCAGCAAATGCTGATTTGCCTTCTGAAAGTATAAATTAGTTTTGCCTTTTTTAGAATTGCATAAAAATGGAATCAGTTTGTACTCTGGTATCTGGCTTCTTTCACTCACTAAAATGTTTGTAAGATTCATCCACATTATTGTATATCAGTCTTCTCTTTTTTCTTTTTATTGGTGAACGGTGTTCTGCTGTACAGATACACGACAGTCTGTTTACCCATTTACCTCTTGAACATTCGGGTTATTTCCAGGTTTGAGCTGTTATGAATCAAGCTACTGTGAACACTGTGGCTCCTACTCTTGATATACTTGTATTATTTAAATTTTTTTCATAGCAAACATGTATTATATTTCCATATTAATTTTGTGGCTCCAATGTATTTTTGCAACCTAATTTTTCTTTTAGTTTTTAATTTTTCATTTATTTATTTTTAGAGAGAGAGGAAGGGAAGGAGAAAGAGGGGGAGAGAAACATCAATGTGTGGTTGCCTCTCACGTGGCCCCCACTGGGGACCTGGCCTGCAACCCAGGCATGTACCCTGACTGGGGATTGAGTCAGTGACCCTTTGGTTTGCAGACTGGTGCTCAATCCACTGAGCCACACCAGCCAGGGCTGAATGTTCTTTTTTAAAAGAAAAAATGAGCCCTGGCTGGCATGTCTCAATGGATTGAGTGCCAGCCTGCGAACCACAGGGTGGCTGGTTCCAGTCAGGGCACACGCCCGGGTTATGGGCCAGGTCCCCAGTGGTGGGGTGTGTGAGAGGCAACCACACATTGATGCTTCTCTCCCTCTCTTTTCCCTCCCTTCCCCTCTCTAAAAATAAATAAACAAAGTGTTTAAAAATTCAAAATAAAGAAGAATATTCAAAAGCTTTTAGTCCTAGATGATAAAAGGTGGAAGCTCCTGATTGTAAGTGTTATCATTAAGCAGTTCCTCTATCCCAATAACACTCTCAATACTGGGTTACCTATGGCCAAAGACAGCCTCTGGGGGTGGAGGGAAATGTCAGAAGATGGGTTTGTAATCACCTTTTCCCATCTCTGGTCGCTGGTTAGAGGAACTAAGTAGGGTGAGCAATCAGGTAGTAGAAGGCTTTGGAGGAAATGTGAGACAGAAGGAGTTTCAAGTGACCGGAGTTTGGTTTGAATGAGAAGGTAGGAGGCACAGGGCAGAGCACTGCTTCCTCAGTGAAAAGCAGGAACATGATGGGAACTTGGTATAAATCCTGCAAGGAGCCTTCACCAGATAAGGGAGAAGAGGAGTCTCTGGAAACGGCGCCCTGCCTGTTGGCAGAGCCCCCCGAAGCCTTCTCCGTCCGTACAGCACACCACAGTTCGCTTCTCCCAGGCTCAGGTGACCACGAATGGACAGTGGTAGGACCTAGCGCTTTGGGCGGTTGTGAGCATTAAAAGAATTCATTAAACTTGTAAAGAACATGGCGCATGGCGAGCTGGCTGAGAGCACGTCAGAGCACCACTATCGTAGTGAGTGTCCAGTGCGTGTTCGCGCAGGACCTGTGTCTCCAACACAGTGAACTCTCTCCATCATCAATGTCAGACACAAAGTCAGTGTGTGGATCCCGAGGCTGACACCCTGAACTGGCATTTGAACCTCATCCAAACGTACCAATTCCAGGGATCCTCCCCCTCCCAGACGTCTGCTGCCCACAGGTGGCTTCCAAGGCTGAGCCGAGGGGCCGTGCTGGTTTCTCCTCTCTGGCTGAGTCTGAGGGGTTGCCCCCTAAACTCCAGCGAGCCAGAGCCCAAGCACGCACATACAGACGCAAACCTCGGCCAGACCTGCAGGCCACTCTCTAAACACAGTTGGCAGAGGTGTAAATACTCTGTAGCAATTGACTTCTGACTCTGTAAACTCTCCTTCTGGAGTCCACTTTCCTGGCAAACAAAGTGAACACAGCGAACACAGTGCAGTGCTTGGACGAGCTGGGGAGCCACGTCAGCCAAGGGTTGAGCCGGAGGGCTGGAGCCTGTGGAGCCGGCCGCGTCTACATCGGACCTCCCATTCCAGTGTCATCCCAATGACAAAGCATTCTGTCAAGCCTCCCCCATGACCACTGCTATTTATTTCACATGGATGACCAGAAGCAGAATCTCAACAACAAATAATCCAGTATTACAAGGGTTGTCTGCTATCCCCGCAAAAGGAACGTGAAGAAACTCCATCTCTATTTTAAAGGGAATTTTGAAAGACAAAACCAGATGATGGAGGGTATTTGAGAAGGGAGTATGAGATCTTACCACAATCAGTGATAAACCTAATCCTGTTCTCACCAAGTTAGGAGGGTAATGTGAACAAGAAGGACTTTCTGGAAGCTTCTCTCTTTAGACGCTAAAGGGAGTAGAGAAAACACCAGTGTTCCTGGGTTGTTTATAACAAATGAAAAAACAGAGCCCTGTAGTGTGTGCCCTCTGAGCTGTTCCGAGAGCCCTGTCTTGACTCCCGGGTAGACTGTTGGGAGGCCCCCCTCCTCCCCACAGGCACAGAGGCAGGACCAGGAGTTAGTCACCCAACTGCTCAGTTTTGAGGGAGTTGCCACAAGCTCGTTCATTTGTCCGGGAAACACACCGGTTTTCTCCCCCTTTGGAATGTAAGGTGAATGTCGAAATCCCATTTTTCACGAGAATGAAGGGCTCGCTGTAAATACACCCATAGCTGGGGGCTGGCCGGGTGGGCCACGAGCTGGGCCTACAGCTGCCAGTGGGCGAGGGGCCAGGAGGGCCGAGAAAGGTTAGCCAGCTCCACACTGAGCCACGCCGGGCAGGCTACAAAGTGTTGGGAATGTTTTTGATTTGCAGCAGGGAGGAAACTCGAAAGCCAGACATCACGACAGACAAGGATCCGGTTCTGAGGCAGACGGGCTGTGGGCTGGCCCCGCCCCTGCCTGGAAGTCTTTATTACCGAGCTGGGACTGCAGGCCCGTGAGCAGCCGGCTGATGGCAACAGCAGATGTGGCTGTGGCAGCCAGGTGGGCCTCGGGCCACGGAGGAGCCACCCGCTCCTGGTAGCAACAGAAAGATGAGAAAAGGACGGGAACTGGGGCCAGTGCAGGGAAGGCCGGCTTGTGGAAGACAGAGAGGAGAGCTGCAAGGGGGATTTGCTGAAAGCAGCAGAGCCGGGAAGCTGCGAGCCAACTGCCTGGGTCGATCCTGTGACACCAGGCAGACGCAAGGGCAAGTCCTGAACCTGTCCCTTCTTCTGAGCCTCCCTTGCGTGTCTCCGTAGAGGGACTGACGATGGATTGTGGGGTTGGTGTGGGGTTGGAATACATAGAAACCGTCATTGTTGCTACGTGTGTGGCCCTAAACAGGTAATTTAACCTTTCGGGCCTCAGTTTTCTCATCTTTACCAGGGAATCCTTCCTCACGGGATTCTTCAGAAGATTAAAGGTGATCATTTATAATGTGACCCGTTGTAAATGTTCAATAAATTCTAGTCCTCTCCGAGCTCCACTCCCCTGCTTCCACTTCCACCCCCTCCCTGCTCCCGCCCCACCCTGCACACACATCCTTCCCCTCCCTCCCCCAGGTGGCAGAGAGGGGGTTCCCCCATGGAGGCCGGGGCGGGGGTTGCTCAGTGCTGTCTGGTTGTAGTTCAGAAATTTAAAAACAGTTTGAGTGCTTACTGTGCGCCACAGGGAGGCGAGCAGAACACAGGCTTGGGGCCAAAGCCGCACCTGAATCCGCGCTCAGCCATTTTCCGGCCGTGGGATTCTCGGCCATGGCCCTCAAATCGCCTTTTCCGAAAAATGGGAGAAATGATGCCCATTTTAAGAATTATGTCTATGCCTTTAGTAAGGGACCAATTAAAAGAATCTTAAAAATAAAGATAATAATCTAAAAACAGAGAAACAGGGTTTAAGAGACATTGTACTAATAATGAGAGGAGCAAAGGTAATAAAACACGAAGCTACAATGTATGAGCCAGTGGACACAGCTGGGTCTCGTGTGGTTTCCAGCTCGCTCCCCCCCCCCCCCCCGCCCAGTTGCCTAGAGTAAACCACTCTGTTCCTCTGGATGGAACACAGCTCTCAGACCCCTTCCAGCCCAGACTTCCAAGGTGAAGTATGAGAAACTGAGGCCAACGCAGAGGAGGTGAGGGCAGTCCTGGGCGCCAGGAGGCGCAGCTAGAAGCCCGGCCAGGGAGCAGGAGAGGGCGGCAGGGGTCTGCGCACGTGTGTGGCAGACGGGAAGAAGAGGGGACGGTGCCCCATGTCAATGATGAATGGGAGTGCAGCACTGCCCAGCACCTTTGCAAGAGGAAGCCCACCGGAAAGTTCTCTGTCTTTAATTCCAGGACTTGGGTGGAAGACCATTGGTAAACTTACAAAGATTAACCTCTTGCTCACTGGACATCATAGATACAACCACATAGAATGAACAGAAATAAAAGTGAGCAGACACTCGTTGGAGACACTTGTCACTGCTTTTGAATTGAAATGTTTTTCGTGAAGGCACCGTTTCTGTCCCAGCCCCCAACACAGGTTGAGTTAGGCTTGAAGCATTGGAAATCGCCCTCCATATAAGGTACAGTTCCAGGCATCACCAAAAACCCTGTCAAGAGCAGGCAGGGTATTTATGCTGTGAGAAAACAGATTTAAAAGCCTGGCACTGTATCATAGTGGCCCGTCAGTGGCTATTCTGGCTGCTTCTCTCTGTCTCATGATTTCGTATTTGCCATAGCATCTTCTGTATGAAATCTTGCAAAGGAATAAGAACACCGAATATTGTAAACAATAGTGTGAATGAAGCCAGTTTAAAACAGAGCCAGAACTGCTGTGCCTGAGGAACTGTCTTGCACATCTTATACCTCAAACCTTAGAATGTTAAACAGGGCAAAATGACCTTTCCCCTGGGCCTGAGCAACCTTGTGTCCCAAAGAACTTTTATGAAGATACCACCATGACTACAATACGGATGACCTCAGGGCTGAAAACCAGAAACGCCGTGTAGAATTACCATCACTCTGCTCTGTTATCCTCACCGGCGGAAATGCCTCCCCTCTGTTGATGCCATGGTTCCCCTTCCCTTTCTCGTAAGTACCCATTTTCTTTATGTCCTAACTGAAATACTGATTCTCGAATAGTTCAAATAAACACCTGTTTGCCTTTCAATTTAAAAGTCCTTATTTTTAAGTTTATGATTTAGCCTGAAGACACAGTTCCAGGTTCTTTGTGTGAACTTGAGGACATGCCCCCAAACCAAGCCTGTTTCTCTCACCTGTAAATAGCGTTCCTCCTGCAAGCTCCCCCCAGGGTGCTCCCGAGGAGTCTCAGGCGTGTGCAATCACCGCAGACATCAGGGCTGATTATTTGCCCATAAAGGGGGTGACTCACTTAGCCTGCATGAAGGTCTCTCTGGCCCAGAAGGACACAGGTGAGCGGCCCGGCAGTTTTAGCACATACTCTGGTGGCAGGAGTCACGAGGGAGGGGCTCCCGAACGACCCAGGTCAATGGCTCCGAGCTTCCACGATGCGAACAAAGTACTTTTTGAAAGCAGCATACCCAAAAAAGGTTTGCCAAATCGAGCATGTGTGCAGAAGCAGTAATCATGTCGAAGCCTTGGTATCTTTAAGGCTTAGCCAAGATGTCTTGGCAGTCTAAAAACACAGCCCTGTTCGGTTCCGCTGGACGGTCATAAAGGAAATGAACAGGATACATGCTCTTCTTTAATACAAAGTGGCAAACTACAAGTTATAACACTCGCAGGCTGTGGCCTTTGACAAGATTTTCGACTCGTTTGTAAGCCTGTTTTCTCATCTGCAGAGTGAGAGTAACAGCTCCATGCACCTCTCTGGTCAGGACATTTAAGTGATAACCCTGGAAAGGCACGATGCCCACCTCAACACGCCCAACATACTGAGAAATTCTTTGAAGGACAAAAGGTGAGTGTTTCAATAAAGACAAAGTCAGACATCTGTTCTTTTAAAATGAGATTTATTGTACATAAAATAAATTAATTACAATTTAAGCCAAAGCATGAGTGGCTTTTTAAAGTGCATCTGTGTAGGGAGTCTGTGCATCTGTTCACTCACTGTAAGGCAGTTTTTGTATCTGAGCCATGACTCAACCAGGCCTGGGAAGCAGCCCAAGGTCATTGCTATGCGCCGTTTACACAAATCACACCAAATTCAACGGACACATTTTTGTTTCTGTACCCAATGCAACAGTTTTTGTTGTTTTTTTTTAATTATACAGTCTCACAACTACTCAAAGTATGGGGCTTAAGAACGTGAGTCCCCAACCACTCAACCTCAGCCCAACTAAGCAGCCTCCACCATGTCGGGCCATATGAATTCTTAGATGTCTGGGTATGTAACATTTTGGCCCATCAAGTCCACCCTTTTGGGGGGCTGGGGAAATATTTTCCTCTTTGTTCTTTAAAAGGAAATCTGGGTACCCTTTAGGTTAGAAAGGCAATCTATAAGAAATAATGTTCCAAAAATGCAAATCGTCCTTGTAAGAGAAAAGCAATTCTTCCTTGGGGGGCAGGGTAGGTGGGAGAACGAAAAGAAAGAAGAAAAAAAAAAGGAAAGCCTCTGAGAGCTTAATCTGTTCTTTCATCCCCACTGGAAATCACATCAATATATTTGGTGAAACTACAACCGACCATCATTTACAAGGTAGTTAAGGACAAAATCCAAAGCAAGTATGCCCCCTCCCCCTCCACAGGAAAAGACATGGAGTACATTTCACATATTCACAGAGCGGCTCAGTGGGCTCATTCGAGCCTCATCAGTCCTGTCCCCCTGCTCAGAACAATGCTTTCTTTTCCGTACCAGTTCCATAGGCCCTCCTGGCCTCTCTGCTCCAGCCCCTTCTGGAACCATGAATTATTGCCAGCATTCAATGTTCCTGCACTGGAAGAACCTCAGACCTCTTCCTGGGAAGACCAAACCCCCTGGAGGGCCTCTGCCTCAGACAGAGGTGACAGTCCTCACTTTGGCAGAAAGGGCCTGCTTGAACCTCCTCTTCAGGTCCTGCATGTTGGGCGACTTGGGCCTGGGGATGAGGGAGGTTCTTCGCTTCTCCGGCATGCTGCTTGGTGGCTGTTTGTGGCTCACTTCTTTGCACAGGACATGGAAGGCGTTGTAGACATCGTTGTAATTTTCACTGACAGATACTTCATAGAAGGAGCAGCCCAGCATGTTGGCCAGCTGTAGTCCAAGCTGAGGGTCCACCTGTTTGATATGCAACAGGTCAGCTTTGTTGGCCACAACCACGACGGGCAGCCGAGTGCCCAGGTGTAGCTGCTGGACATGCTGGTGGAGCTGGCCAATGAGTTCATAGCTCTTGCGGTCGGTGATAGAGAAAACGATCACCACAGCATCTGCCCAGCGAATGCATCTATTCAGCTGTTCGTTGCAGCTCAAGCCGTTCTCGTGAACCTGAAAAGGGTGGGGTAATGGCAAGGTGAATGGCGAGAGCAGAAAAGAGCCCTGGCTTGGCTGGATGGAGAATTCAAAAGAGCCCTTTACTGTAATGCCAGGTCGCAGGCCATAAACAAGTTATATCCCCACACACTTCAGCTTTCTTGACAATATGTTGATCCAGCTGCACGGAGTTGGAATAAATAACAGTGCAGCTCACCACACTCAAGTGGAAAATTGACCTGCAGAGAACTCCATGCAGAGAGACTTTGTAGTTGCATAAAATGGGAAATTAACTGGCTAGACAGTAAGTCTGGGGAAGTAAAGATAGGAGCTGGAAGCATTTAAACCTGGATAACTGCCCAGTTCAAGAGGGGGAAGAAAAAAAAACACACACACATACTAACGTGGCTCTTTTGTCTATAGAGTAACTTTCCACAGTAAAAAGTGATTCCAAGTATTTGGAGACTATACCTAGATGTTTGATTTTTTTTTTTTAATGGCAAACACAAATGTAAAAAGCGATCTTTTTAACTACAGCAAGGAAACTTTGCCAATTCCAAGTGCGTTTCATTTGGTCTTTCCTGCTGGGTAGGATCCTCCTAAGGGAAGATTTCTGCCCCTCAGCCAAATCTCCCAAATTAAGCTAGCGTAAGGCTGACCAACAGCCAGATACAACTGAAGTGTCAAACATGTAACAGCCTCAATTCACTCCCCCAATTTTCCTCCTGCAGCAGGAGGTACTTTGAGAAGCGAAGAATAATTCTACAGCCACGTAGACTCCCCCTTGATGTAGTCACATGCCTCACAGCTTCTTACCTGAATACCTGGAGTGTCTTGAACCTGAATAGCCAGAGTTTCACCTTCTATTTGGACTTGTCTGGTGTAAAGATTACCTACCAAGGCAAAAAAAAAAAAAAAATTACGTTCATCCTTCTTGTACAACTTTAGAAACATTGTGGGATTTTTTTCTTTAACTTAGGGAAAAAATACAACCTGAACCAATGCACAGAAATAAGCTATAGTTTATCCTAGACAATGGACTTAATTCAATATTTTTGGAAACAACTGTAATTTTAATTTCACAGTAGTGGATTCATTAAAACCAAGGCAAAGTGTGCAAGTTCTTGGAAGCTGATTTGTCTAATTTTAAACAGAGCTTCCATATGTACAGTATTTCCTTAAAGCAAATTTTCTTGCTCAGCATGTGTGGGACTTTTATTTTATTTTGGTACTTTATCACTCTTTGACATATATTTGTACTTTAGCTATTAGACACAATGGCTTGTTCGGCAAATATTGTTATAAATGTGCAGCCAACATTACCAACTTAAGTAAAAATGTAACATAAGCCTGGCCAGTCCCACATCAAAGCAGAGGCTGCCATGCCTTATCATGGGATGGTTTATATAGTGCATTTCAAATAATCCCCTATAGGTACTTCATATGGCCTAAGGAATGAAACAATTTGCTAACAGAACATAGGTTAAAAGCCCTTAAGCCTCCCCAATGGCTAGTTTTAATCATAGGGATTGAAATCGTGTCCTCTTATTTATTCAGGAACTCTCCTAAAATTCTAGTCATTTTTCTTTGTTAAGAAAAGAGAACTTTAGATTTACAACTGCTCTCCTTTGGCCTTTGCTTTAAAAGGTCACCTCTGAAAGGCAGCCAGCAGAGAGGGATAGGGGTGAGGGGAGGAGCTGACCATCTTTTTTTTTTATGACTTTTGCAGGAGTATTTAGAAGGGAGAGGCTCTTCAGAACAAAGGGTGCTACCAGCCGGGGTCCCCATAGTTAAAACATACCAAAGGGAATACTTTCAGGCACTTGATAAAATGATGAATGGGCTTAGAATGGAATGAGGCTAGATGGCAGTTATGGGGGGCGGGGAGCATGGGAGGGGCACGCAAAGTTGGATGTGGCAAGATCCTGATGCTGACTGTCACTCTGAAGGAACCTGTCTGGGAGACACTGAAAAATGAGAACTGGTGCAGACTGATGGTATTTTCCTCAAATTTACATGCTCACCTGCATTTCTTTCGTAGTCACCAATGAATCGTTTGGTGAGGAACCGGACCACCAGGGCTACAGGTCAGAAAAGAGAAAGGAAAGAGGCTTAAACCTGGCACTCGAGTTAGATTGATCCGCACCCCACCCCCGGCATGGAAAACAACTTTCCCAGAGAATTCCTACCCTCCCAGCTTGACCCTTCTTCCAGACACATGGACAGAGGGCTAGAAGATATGGTGAATTATAGCTCTGTCCAGCTGAAAGGGTCATTTGGTCCACCCCCTCCTCTGAGCCAGGCTGAGCCGCACCTAAGCCTTCCAGCAGACAAATGTCTTTCTAATCTTAAAGGCCTGGAGAAGGAATTACATTCACTAAGTCCCCTTTTGGGCTAGGCACTGCCAGAGGCTCAAGAACCCCAAAGTTTTAACCCCCGTTTTGTGTCGGTGGTGCGGGGAAGGTCGCCTGGCCATTCTGGATCCAGTTTCCCTCATCTGTTGAAGGAGGGATTAGAAGAGATGCTGGCTAGGGTGCCTCCGGAGGGGCAGCTGCACCTCTCACTTCTCCCCTGCTTCGTTTGCCCGCGATTCCCAGCGGGGGCCGCCCACGTCCAGCCCCGAAGATAAGCAGGTTCTCCCTCGAGTGCAAGGACTCACCGGTCTTGCCCACGCCGCTGGCCCCCACCACAGCGATCTTGACCAGCCGACGTCCCGCTGCCCCCAGGCAGTAATCGGCAGCGGCTGCGCTGCCCGGAGTGGGGTACTCCGCGATGGTGCACATGTTCTGAATGAGGCGCATCTCCGCTCCGGCTGGGCTGCTCCGCGTGGGACGCGAGCTGCGGAGCGGGAAGAGGTTCGCACTGCTCGGAAGCGGGCGGGAGGACTAGGCCGAGGGGCTCCGCGGAAGAAAGAAAGAAAAAAAACCCAACAACAAAAAGAGCACTGGAGAAGTCTAGTGTAGAGCTCCAGCGGGCTCCGACTCCCGGCTGGGACTGCACCCGGGCTGCGCGCGCTGTTTTCTCCGAGGTCGACCCCGCCCCCTGCCTTGGGAGGCCAATCCCCGGGCGCCCGGCACGAGGCCCCGCCCCCAGCGCCAAGCCCCTAGCAGCGCTCGGAGCCTGTGCGGGGCCCCGTGAGCCACTGGTAAAATGGAGCAGCGAGCCCGAGGGAGGCAACGTGTGGGCTAGAACCCACAGCTCAGCCAATGGCGGGCGCCGGGGAGGGCAGCACTGGGTGCCAGCAGGGGTCCCGCTGCGCCCGCACGGGGCTGATGCTGTGGCTGAGGGGCTGGGGACGCCTCGGATGCTGAATAGCGGGGCTCAGCTTGGGGTTGGGCATGGTCTGGGTGTCACTAGAGCGCTTCACCGGCATATAACCTTCCCAACAACCACCCCCCAGGGCCCCCAGCTGCCTGCCCAGTCCCTGCAGCCAACTAACCACTGGACCCCAACGCCGCCCACCCTCTGGGAACCTGCGCCCTGCAGGCTATGGCCTCGTGAGTGTGAGGGTTTGGGGTCTGGGAACCAATCCTGCTGCCCGGCATCGGTGTGGTGCGTCTCATTAGTTTGGGGAGTGATAGCACTGACTTGGGTGCATCTGGGGCGGCATCCCGTATCATAGATTTGCTACAATGGCAATCGGTAACCAATATCCCGTAACCACTATCCTAAAATGGGACTTTTGACTTGGGGCAAGATAATGCCACCCATTTGCCCGGAAACCCACATGCTGTGGTTCTTGTCCGCAGGACGGCGGATCACTTACCCTCTGACAAGGTCGGGTTAACGTACAGACCGTACTGCTTGTACAACACTCCCAGAGGCAAATCAAGGAGTAATTATAGACCAAGCTTTCCAGCGCCTCACACGGTCACACCTCCAACAAGAGCCCTGAAATGGAAAGAAACTTACCCTGGCTGTATCTGGATGCCGACTACACTGGGAAGCAGAAACCAGAAAGGGCCCGCACTTTGTCTCTGGTCATAAGGAATGGCAAGGTTGGTAAAGTCACTTGATGCCAAGGAAGATGTGTGCTTGCACTCATAAAATCCTAAACTCCAGGGGAAGACATTTTTAATAGTAGGCTACACTCCCCAGCCAAGCAATATTCTGTAGCTGCATCTGACTGCAAAATGTCACCAGACACACAGGTTGACCACCTCCCTCCCTTCCCCTCTCCTCTTGACCCTTCTGACCCTTCCAACCACGGGCCCTCAAATATTCCAGAAGCTTTATCCTGGGGACAAACACTGTAGCTTTGTACTCACAGCCATATTAAAGGTTGAATTGTAAAAGTATAAGCCAGTTCTCTTATCTACACATGCCAGGCATCTAGTTTGATTCCCTCTTCCACCCTCAACTTAATTAACCAGGTATTTGATGGAATTTATGATGCTGACCCAATTCAGACTGGGGTGAACTATCTTCTCTACCTCCGTTTATGTGTTCTCCAGGAATTCAAGGTAGAGGAAAGGTAATCACAAACTGCCTTGGTAACAAGTATTCTGGGACAGACAACATAATTGGCAAGACACACAACCTTAGCAATAAATGAAATAAAAGGTTGGCTCCTATGGAGGCCCCAGGCATGAAATAAATTCAGTCATTTGAATAAGGATGGGGGGGAAGAGCATTTAGAATATGTACCATGTCTTTCTGCATGGTTTAAATCAAATTTTAATTTTGATGTGCTATAAAATCAAATGTAGCAAGACTGTAATTACAGGTAATCATGTACTTTTTAAACCCCTCCCCCCAAAAGACTGTAATTCTATCATGCTTACATGGTGAAATAATTATGTAGTCTGAAGTTTTTGTCTAAATGCTTTTTATACACACACACATATTCACATACAGACATGACAAAAGTAGTCAAGGAGAATTTTGCTTTGACTCTAAAATGCTTCTAGGGCTTGATTTTTATTACCATGAGCCTGCACCAAGCCTATGATTTTTCTGTCTGAAACACAAAGGCTGAATTTGCTATTCTTATTTTAGGTCTAAATGATCTGTCTGTACTTTAAAGAACACAGAAAAATAAGCAGCAAGAGAAAGATGGAGAAAAGAAAGGGGAGCTCTTTAAATTCCAAACATCTAGCAAATAGCCCCCCTCCACCCTACCCTACTTTCAAACGATGACACTGAGAGTCACCCCTTCTTGGAAATTCACAGAATTAATAAAAAGGAAGGGGAAGGGGCAGGAGAATCGATATATCCTGAAGGCTTGTTTGAGTCCAGGCAGTGGGTTAGGGGGTAGTACACAAAAGTCTCATTTTACCTTCCTGACAGTCCTGATGCCATCGTTGCCAGTTGCATTATCTATTGCTGCTTAGTAAATGACCCTGAACCTTAGTGGCTCACACTTCTGTGGGCTGACTGTGCTCAGCTGGGTAGGTCTCACTCGAGGTCTCTCACATTATTGCAGTCAGGTAGCGGGTGGAGCTGGAGTCATCTGAAACCTCACCTGGGCTGGACATCCCAGACGGCTTCTCCACTCACAGTCTGCATTTCAGCGGGAACGCCAGGGTAGCTGGGTCTCACCAGCATCTCTCTCTCTCTCTCTCTCTCTCTCTCTCTCTGTCTTTCCCTTGGTAGCTCAGATTCCTTCATGGCAGCGTGGGTAGCTTCCCTGAAAGTGAGTGTTCTAAGACAGGAATCGGAAACTGCCAGGCTTTTCAGGCTGCTGCATGGAAGTTGGCATAGCACCACTCCTGCTGTGTACTATTGGTCAAACAGTCACAGAGCCCACCCAAATTAAAGAGCAAGTGGCAGGGACATAGGTTACACTGTCGGATAGGAACAGCGTCAAGTAATTTGTGGCCCTCTGTATTCTACTTTGTTTTATAAAGGAGAAAGCAAAGTCTCAGGTTAAAAATTCCTCCGAGGTCAAATACCTTATAAGGGACAGAGCCAAAATCTGAAAAGGATAAATGACATAGAAAATTGCCCCAATGTCCACAGTGAAACAGTCTCCTGTGATGCTGTGCTTCAAAGTGCCTGGACCTGCTCTCTCTGCCCCTCCTTCTCTGTTGAAGCTAAAAAAAAATGGCATTGGGCACTAAAATATGACAAACTTGGGAAAGAAACAAATATTTTGCCAACTTCTGATTTTTGCTTCAGCACCCAAAGTTTCTAGCACCCCCTTTGATCTTTATAGCTGATCTTAGATCTGAGAGCTTCTAGAACATAATCCAGTTTCTGGAATTCCTTAGTACACTGGAGTATAAATTCAATAAATACTTATGGAATTTGGAGCCGTGGACATACCAGACATTATTCTGGGTCCTGAGTCTACACTGGCAAACAAGACACATGTTGCCACCACTGCAGCTAACATTTAGCATGGGAGACAGAGACATGAATGAGCAATTTCAATACAGTGTGAAGAAATACTTCAATAGGGGAAATTCAGAGGCTGTAGAATTACTTGGTAGGACTAAAAACCTGGACTGTGGAAATTAGAGAAGAATGTGGGAAAGTTTGAGTAGTTGAACAGTTGGTGTTTTGTGTATGTGTGCATGTGTGTGCACACAGCAGAAGTAAGGCCTGCTTGAGTGTGGTTGGCAGGGTATGTGAATGTCTCGCATGAGACGGACTGCAATTTGAACATGTCACCTAAAATGTCATATGGTGTGCTTGAGTGTGATATGGTTATGTTACAGAATTGCATGCTTATGATTTTGTAATAACAGATTTTGTAATTAAAAAAAGGAGCATTATTTGTGCTGGACCCTGTGTGTGAGTATGAAGCAGGGCCCTCAGATGGGGAGAGGTGGGTTAGTTTGCAAAGGACATAGTGTTTGCCAGTAGACAGTAAATATTTGTGGACTGTAAATGAAAGCAAAGGCCTCACCTGGAGAGAATGAATTCAAGGAACAGAATAACCCCCCATGAGTAGACAGGGGGGGAAGAGTCTGGTGATTTCTAAAGAAGGGCACACATATCAACAAAATAAGCCCCAGAAGTTGTGTAGCCCTCCCTTCCACAAGATCATGCCCCAGAAAGCCAATGAGCTTCCCTTCTGCCTATGTCAGCAAGGGTTTCCCCCAAAGTAGCCCCTCTGAGCCTCCAGGCCTTGATCAAGGACCAGACTTTTTTTTTGAGACTTTCGTCAACCCTGCTTGTTTATATCTAGTAAACAGACACCTTGTCAGCTGTTTGAGACAGAAAATTATTTAATTACCCATATTCAGGACTGTCAGAAGGGCCGGAGTGGTGGGCTCTAGGCTGGGTGTGCAGCAGTGACTACTAGAACTGAAAAACTGGCCCACCCAGGGAGCTGCTACCTCTTCCATAGTCAAGAAGATGGAGAATCAGGAAGTCTCCACTGTCACCATTGCTACTGTCTTTCTAGACCCACATAGGTGGAGGCTCCACTTGGTCAGTATCTCCACAGTGGAGCCTAGCAGCTCCAGAAAGCAAACAAGACACAGAAAGATGGCCTCCTCTCTGCTTCTGCCATGCAACTCTTATCTGAATGCATCTAGTTAGTGAAGTTAATTTGTGTCCATTACCCAGGTTTGAGGGAGTCTGGAAAATGTGATTAGCTTTCTAGTCTCAGCCACATGTGAAGACACATTAGAAATGGAAAGGAAGACTTCCAGTCAAGATGGAGGCATAGATAAATGGGACTCACCTCCTTGCACAACCACAGCTAAACTACAGAACAACTGTCACTGAGAACCTTCAAAAAACCAAGCTGTATGGAAGTCCAACAACTAAGAAATTAAAGAAACCACTTTGATCCAGACAGGTAGGAGGGGCAGAATGGGCTGATTCCACACCCTTGCATAGTGGATATAAGTTGGAGGGATGTCTTGGGAGCAAGGGATCCCAGCCCCACATCAGACCACACAGCCCAGGATTCTGATGCCAGAAAGATAAATCCCCATAACTTCTGACTGTAAAAACCAAGGCAGGTTGGGTTGGTGGAAGAAACTGTGGGATTCTCAGGCATCTCCTCTTGGAGGGCCCCACACATG